AAATTCATTTTCGTCTAAGTTCATTGCGTATTTTTAATTTCCTCCTTATTTAAAATTATATTTCTTATTAGGCCACTCTGATATCTAACAGCCTCATATTATGTCCGTTTTAGGATCTAAGACCAAATCGTTGCTCAACTAAAAAAGTCTGTCTAAGGATAATTTTAATTGCGTTCGAAACATTATCCCAGCCCCCGAATCAGTATTCAAAGCTCATGTTTGTTTGGCAATAAATTACAAAGTTTCACTCGAAACCGACAAACTTCTTGAATATCATTAATTCTAACGAAGCTCCAATCTTAATAATAAGTGAAGATACGCCCCACTATAGCATAAGCTGAAGCGGTAGCGGAAGCGAGTTTCATAAAAGAAAACTGAAATTACATTTGACAATTGGGAATATAATTGTTGTCTTTATTATTAACATAATATGTAGATCTCAATTTTCTATTTTACAATAAAGTTTTGATTGGTAGGTATTATTTTATTCTTATGTTTCTTAACATTGCGGTCCCATATCTTGTGGACAGACCATATCGCCGCCATCTTATATTTCCTGTCGGAATTTCTTTTTACGCGGAAAATTCCACTTGTCAACCTCAATTTCGATGGGTTCGACGTGTATTATAATTTGTATTTGCGCTTCGGTACTTTTCTATCTGCTCATAAAGAATATGTCAACTTTCATATTTTCCCTTTCATCTAGAATTTTGCCTAAAATTATCTCTAACAGAATAAAATGATTTGGCCATGAGAAATTCAGAATAAAGTTAGGAAAGGTCAAAAAAAATGAATGAATGCCTTGTTATTCTTAGGTCTGTTTTATATATATTTTATATAAGTGCACATTACCAATAATATCTTGTTCAACAACAAGTGTTACATTTACGAATATCCGATGTCAAAACTAGGCCGACAACACATCTAGTTTAGATGTTATATGTCTGTGGTATTTCACTTTCCATAAAACGGTTTAAAACGCGAAATTTATTACCTATTATTATATTTATGTTGAGCACGGAAGGAGTGAATAAACTTGTATGTAAACATTTATACACTAACAGGATATTTTACATAGGACGCTATTTTAGGCAACTGTTCTAGATCTAGCGTATATTTCTCCAACAGAATATAACTGTCTTTATATTCTAAAAAACTGCGTAACAACAATACTCTGAATAAACCTTGACTTAGAATTGTATGCCGTATTACGTAATTAAGTTGCTTGTTTGTTACAATCAAGTTACAGTACGGAAGTGTGGCTGGAACTTTGTTAATTATTGCTCTCGAACTTGGAACTTTGATATGAAAAACCCTTTGAATCTCTGTTATAACAGAGTTTTGTAATGTGGAATCTTTTTGGTTCCAATTTCTTTACGGGGCATTATGTTTGATAAATCGTGCGTGTTTTTGGGTTTATAGAGTAAAATTTGTTGATTAAATAAAATATATAAAAAATAATAAGAAGAATATATAGTAAAAATGTAGTTAGTTTTGTAATTTCTTTATGGTACATAGAAATATATAACTTTTTATCATGACTATGAACGAAATTATTTAAACATTGCAGTCTCAAGTTAGTTTAAATATCTGTTTTAAACCTACACTAGTAAACCCTATAATATAAGATTAAGGACCCAAATTTAAGATACTGCAAAAAAATTGACATAACGTTATATTTTTAGTCAACAACACTTACTTAAATAAAACATTTTCAATCAATTAAGACGCGACATGTAGTTAATTTATTTACAATATATTTTAACTACGCCCCGCTGAAACCCCGGCTGCTGCAAAGCATCCGAAACGTGGAGCCCTAATTAAAATATATTTTACAAATTAGTAAACTAATATATTTCGCGTTTTAAATTGTTAAAAGTGTACTCGGCAAACATCAGATAATGCTTAATAACACTTTCTTTTAGGTCTCTTGTTCTTGGCAGAACAGAGTGTGTGCCACTTTGTAATTGTTAACGTGGCTTGTTACTTTCTCAACAGAAATATGAATATTTAAACAGGCAAAAAGCCCGCTTATCCCAATGAATTTTGTTCGCTCCATTTGTACATAAAATAATGACAGTACGTGCAAATCGCATGACCCACTTTTCGTACATAATTTTCATGTACAATTCGTGGACGCATCGCGTTGCGGCCAGAAATAATTATGTGTGGAATTCAACCAGACAATATTATACGACGATGGCGAAGATTGGATACGGTTAATTTAATTAACAAAATTATAAAGCTTCTGACGTTTTCGTATTAATGTTACTCCATCACGAATGACATCACATTATTTTTATAATAGAGAAGGACAGACAAACATGCGCCTAACTTAATGGAAAGTGAACAATACCTAACATATAAAAATGACAGAAAATATGTGTTGACCTATTTCACGTTTGGATATTCACCACTAAATCCACAGGATGAACTGAAGAGCGATTAAGTCATGGCTAGGCTGTGGAAGTGATTTTTGACCAACACGTTTCAGATATTTAAATAAAAAATTTTAACGGTTCAAAACGCGATATATTAGTTAAACTTATTTGAAAATGATTTTTAACTTGGCCCGACTTCGGATGATTTGCAGCAGCCGTGGCCACGAGGAGACTCCGAAACGTCGGGCCAAAGTTAAAAATCATTTTCAAATAAGTTTAACTAATATATCGCGATTTAACCCGTTAAGTGTTTTATTTAAATGTGTAGGTACTACTCGTGTAAACTATAGACAGTATGTTTCAGATATTTTTTTAATAGGAAGTAGGGATCGAACCCTACCCGTAGATCATTAGCCATTCATTGCTACCATTGGTCTAACGGGCAAGTCAAATAAGAAGTCTTTGAGGTTTTCCAGCTTGTTGGTTTGCCATCACCGATGATATCATTAGAATCACATTCCTCAATCAAGCGAAAGCCTTAAACAGTTTGTAAGCATGTTATCACTCTCATCTTCTGGTTATAAGCGAGGCGAGCGCCTGAAAGCACCGTTTTTAGTTGCCAGTGTTAAACATAGTAAATAAGCATTTTTATTAGAATCGAACAGACTTCATAGTTATTGAAGTAACCCTGAAATACTCTTACATTATCGTTTTCGTCGTCTTTTTTAAATAAATATTATAATTTGCCTTTGCTCATGTTTATTTAGGATTTTTTAAGTTGTACGGCTTTCAGATATCTTAAATAAATCTACGACATTGTGTTTCGTTTCGTCTACATGGACGGAAACATTTCTGACTTCACTTACTTTTATAGATTTATTGTTATGCACAGCCAGTTTATTCTTCACCAAGTCATATTCACATTTCCACGCTCCACGTCACCAAAATGTCTGCTTGTGACGTCACAAATTGTCCCCTATTCAGTTGCGAAATTACGGGCGTCGACGCGTGCCGAACTAATTTCAACAGAATATTATTCGGATAAAATTTGCTAAATTGGACCATTATAGGCCTTTGTTGGAATTTCGGGGCCTCTACAAAATGTTATTGTCTACTGGGGTCTAACTGTTATGCACGCTTTATAAGTTTCTAAATTTCCTGACTGCCTACTTAAGCTTTTTGAGCTTTAACGGTTTAAAACGCGATATATATCGATTGAATTTATTACTATGTTTCGGATGCTTTGCAGCTAATATCTCCCCGTGACCACGACTGTAGTTTAAATAATTTTTAAATTTAACTACTTAATATATTTCGCGTTTTAAACCGTAAAGTGCTTTATTTAAAGCGTCAACTATAGACAGTATTTCTTTTTTGAGCTGTTTAAAAGCGTGGGGTAAAATTATAATGAATACAGTAAAGCTTTGTTAAAAAATATATTTTTTATTATGTATTTCAAGATCAACTTTTTTATATTTAAAATAAAAACAAAGCTATAGTTCTTTTGAATATAAATTACTGTTACGAACAAACATGATCCAGGAAGGGATCAAAGAGTACTATTGATAAATTTTTAATTGGAGTGTGCATTGCAACCGCTAATGACGTCATGCGATAATGACGTCATCGAGAGCCGAGAGCGCTATTGATTGCGTATTGATAGAGCTGAATGCGAATTTTGAATCGACCCACTTCTTTTTTTTATTACAGGCAAAGTTTACACCGTAGCTTCTAAACTGCCATTTCATAGGATTTTGTAATCTATACTAATATATAAAGCTTAAGAGTTTGTTAATTTGTTTGAACGCGTAATCTCAGGAACTAGGAGTTCGAATTGCGTGGGTTAGAACATTTATCGAGGAAGGCTATAAAACAAGCTGTCCTTCCCTTTTTTCCGGGGGGTACGCAACAAAAACGGTTCAAGATACTAAAAAAATATGTATGAAAAAATAATTTCTCTTTAAATGATCTTAAAAGAAGTCCGCGACACTATATGTCAATGTTTTAAGATTAACTTGCAAGAACGACGGGATGCGAGCGACGTCGTGGGTAACAGCTTAAGTTTATAAAACATATTTAAAAACAATTTGGATAAACTAACGATTCTCGCTGATGAAGACATAGATAGCTTGCACAGCTGGTGCAAAAATATGTCTTACTTCGCTTAACTAACGTCAAGATACAAAGAAAAATTAATATACCTGTTCGTCTATTGGTATGAGTGTTACACAAATTCGTGAGGTGGCTTCTTCGATCGTCGGTAGATTACCAAAATATTTATATTGAGGGATTACAAAGAGTCAACCCGAACGTCTTAGGAACTTAAAACAAAATTACATGAGCCCTATGAACTCTAAGGAGGTTTGAGTTTCAATAGTGGGATTACCTTATTAACAAGAAAATCTAGAACTTTGCTCTACAAAACTTATAATTAATCATCATTCATTGAATAATAAACCAGGGTTAAAGGAAACATTTTAAGTTACCTTCATGAGCGAGATTCTTCGTTTTATAATAACAACGAAATAACGTAAAAACCTTTTTGATTATCATAATTTACACACGGTTGAATTGAAAATTATCTCGACGCAATTTAAATACATTTTTCGTGGAAAGCTCATGAAAACGGAAAACGTTAAGTGGCTCAAAGATTTCTCTCAAACCATTATAAAACCAATAGAGATAATAATTGAGCGCGGATCACTGACAATGTCTCGAGATCCATCGAATCTTCATCCATTACCGAGATTAGTGCTCGACGGCGTAGTGCGTAAGGTATGTCGCACACTTCGAGAAAAGCGATATACCTTATTGCAATCATTGTTTAAATATCTATGTGCCATATTTATCTCCTCTCTCATTGAAGGAAGTTCCAGTCATCCAGTGTTAGGTGGTAGGATGACTGTTCCTACTTCCTCCTTGCTCTATGGTATCCTTAGGAATCGCACCTACTTCTTCAAAGTAGGGGAGTTTATCATTCACCTCTCTCCCTCACCCCCCACCCTCCTCACCATCTAAATCGATTGTAGGTAATGTAAAGTTTAGCCTAATAGACACTTATTTTAAATCATTTCAAATACCAAACTAACATTTAGTCCTCCTTACAAGTTGCAAGTAAGGACGTGACAAATCAATCACACGCAGATAGAAAGTGATATATTTAATTACATTTCAATATTCATTAAATATCATTATCACTATAATTTATTAATTATTATTCATTAAACTCACGTCTCTAGTCCCGATCAAAACGATTGAATTCAACGAAAATCAAATTTTGAATACGATGTTATGTATACAAACGTTTCACACTCATTTGTCAGAATGTAAAATAATCTGACAAGTGGGAAGTCAATAACAGTACTCACTCAAGCCAATAGATGGAGCTTTTTATGTAACTTATGTATACTATAATTTTTATTTATTTGTGTTCATAAATATGTTAATTATAAAACACTGTCTGTAGTTTACGCAAGTAATACACATTTAAATAAAATACTTTAACGGTTAAAAAAGCGACATATATTGATTTAAAAATTATTTCATACGTCGCGACGTTTCGGATGTTTTGCAGCAGTCGTGGTAACGAGGAGGTTACTTATAGCTCTAAACCTAGTGGGTAAAAACCTTAGTCGATGTCAGCGTTATGTAAATAGTAAGGCTGCGTGTCTTCAAAATGAAATGATTGTTCAGGGATCTTTGTCTATTAACTAAATTTACTTTCAGTATTCTCGAATTACACAACTCAATCTTACTATAAAACGTAATACTTAATCAAACGATGCGAGTTTTCTTTTATTTATAAAAAAACGTCCTCAGATTTGGTTAAATTTTGCACAATCAAATTTCCGATATATATAAGTCGAAGCGTTATCGGGTGGCCCGATGAATGAATATGATGATGAAAAGAATAAATGTTACTTGGTACGGTCTCAAGACAATTTTAAATAGTCGGTAGCTAAATTGGTAGAGCAACACCACGGAACGCTGGCGATGCCGGTTCAAGTCCTGCCCGAGACGAAATTTTTTAAAATTTATTTTCGATTTTTTAATTGTAGAGTTTAATTGTTGGTTCTACATATTGAGGTACATTGTCTCAGGCATATTTTTCAGTTCATGTATCTTCAATATGAAGTGTATGAACATAAATACAAAGGTTAATTCAGAATTAAGTTGGAGTTTAATACCATGAAATTAGCGAATATTTTCGCGCAATCGGTGAACATAGCAAAAGCCCGCCTTATCGCGTCATGACATATCGCACTGCAGTCACTTCCGGCGAAAAATGGCGCCGTTTCCGGTGCTAATATTTACGTGTTTGCTACTGCAGGCTGCATGTTGGGTGCTGTGATTAATTGAGTAGGTTCCTTTCAAAATAATTCCTTCTTTAAATTTCATATGTGTATGAATTAGTTGTTCTATGCTTACCCTTATTTATTGTGACGTTGTTTATTAAAAATAACGTCAGTGCTAAAATTGTACCCACTCGGTTTGTGCTGGTGGCGCCATACAATATTATTACTTAGTGATAGTAAATGGCAATTTAATACAATTACAGAAATAATTATGTGTATTGTATTATATAGGGAGAAAAATCTTATAGATATAATATTATTAAAGACTAGTTCGTTGATGTAATGGTAGCGCTGTATAGCTAATAACGGAACACGGTTTTCATCAACATTAGGTGAAATATTTTTCAAATCAATTTGAAAATCAGGATAATAAACGGGTCATAGAAATATTGAAATTCAGTCCGGGTAACAATCGTGCGCAGATGAAAAAGACGTGAAGTTTAACTACCTTTCGGTTTCAGTCTGTGGATTTTTGAATAAGACAAAATAGGTCGATAACACATCTTGTAATTTACCTACCATCAAGTGAACCCTTAGCTAGTCTGTCCTTCTCTCTCATAAAAAAAGAACTGTTTAAAAATATTTTGCTAAATGTCATTACCAAATTTAATAAATATTATCAAGAGTGTTAATCAGTGAAAACTATTTAAATAAAACGCTTAAACCCGAACCAAAAAAAAAATTAATTAAAAATTATTAAAAAAAAATTTCCAACCCAACCACGGTCGGAAGAGCTGATATATCGCGTTTTAAACCGTTAACGTGTTTTATTTAAATGTGTACTACTCGCGTAAAGACTAATTTAAGATTTAAGGCACTTTTGTGTTACAAAATCCTTTGTAAGATGTACTGCAGAAGTAGCTTAGATAGAACCCATTGAAATGTCTTGAAACGAATGACCCAGAAAACAGTTTTTAACGTAGCCCTACACCTAAGTGCAAAGACATTCTCTGATGAAAGAAACTAGGCGTCTAGCTTCAGTTCCAAGAGATATTATATCATTGTCTTGCATAAAAATGTTTGCTTTACACTATTCCAACTACAAAAGACTTTTGTTTTAAATTTACATATTATATATGATATTATAAAGCTGTAGCTTGTTTGTTTGAACGCGATAATCTAAGGAATCACTGATTCCAATTCAAAAAAAATATTTTACGTGTTTGTTATATATATTTGTATCACTAAATAAGTATTTATCTAAAAAAATTCTATTTCTTTTAAACTCAAAAAAACTATTTTTATTATAAAACTTGTAAATTCCTGGAAGAGCGTGACGTATTAGGAAAAAATTAAAGGACTTTTTAGTAGGTTCATTTAAGAAGTCGTTTAGGTTTTTTTTATCCTTTGTTATATATATTTGTAACACTAAATAAGTATTTTTCTTTTTTTTTCTCTTGTACTTAGGTGCCTGGCGTGTTTTTCTGTGGCGTGTATTATACATAAAAAAGCTATAATATATAAATAAATAAAAAAAATACAAATAACTAATTTTGAGTTTTCCCGAAGACACGTAGCGATAATAAATAAGAGTTACGGAAATTTAATTAAAAATTCCGATTAACTAATTATTGACCACCATTTGACCACGTAATGCCTTAGATAAGATGTGACAACGAATTTTGTATTAATCGTTGATAACTGTAGCGATAAGCATTGATAAGCGGTCAGTTACCAATTAGTCGTATAGGAGTAGGTGTGTGGACAACATGGCGAAGAAAAAAGATGATAAAAAGTCGACTCAAAAGAGTGAAAATAATGTAAAACAACATAAAGCTTCATTTAGTGTAAGTGACATTAGTTTCTTTTATTTTATGATAGACAGATTAGCATGGCACTTAATGGTAGATGAAATTTAGCCATATAACATCTAAATAAGATGCGCGGTCGACCTATTATAGCTTTCGATTTTCGGCAATCCACGGGGAATTAAATAAACTTGACGACTTGACTTGTGGAGGGTTATTCGTGACCCGGACGGAGTATCGATATTCCTACCACCATTTAATATATTTAGAGGAATTCCAACGTGTTTCAGAACTTTTAAAAAGGGAAATCTCAGTCAACACACACACACATATCACATTTTTTAATAAACTTCGTTTGTTTACCTAGGAACAAAGAATTATTATGTAGTTCTATTTCTTTTATGTAGTATGTCTGTAGTTTGCGCGACTACTGCAAATATAAATAAAAAACCTTTTAACGGTTTAAAACGTGAGATATTAGTGACCCCGTGACCAAACTTTGGGCTGTAGTTAAAATTGATAAAACATTGTTTAACAAATATTTTGTGTTTTAAGCCGTTAAAGTGTTTTAATATTATACTACTCACATAGTTTACAGACAATACCTATACCTATACAATCAATTTTCAGCCATTCTTTCTCTTCGCCTCAATAGCTGTCGTAATATTCTCAGTGTCAGCGCTACAGTTTTATATAACCTTGACCAGTGTTCCTGACCTGCCCCAACTTGACCTGGACAAGTGCTGGGGGGTCAATTGCTCAGTGGATGAGAGCATTAGAAAATTTAGAATCGTCTTTTCCGATGCTGTGAGTAAAGTGCCTTAAATTTTATATACAAATATAACTTTATTACCATACAACATTTAACAACAACATCCGTAAGACATTTTGTTTGTGCTGGAAATATTTAATATTAAAAATAGCAATTTTTAATAAGTATTTTACTAATTTAAAAATCGAAAATAAATTGAAAAAATATTCGACTCGGGCAGGACTTGAACCGGCATCGTCAGCGTTCCGTGCGGAACGATTTTTAAATTATATAGTGTAGCCTTCATGTGCAATAACATGTAAATAATAATAATGTTTTCAAAAGCATTTTACTATTAAACAAAGCACAACCCCACTAGACTGGTTAACATGTTTTTCGTTGCCCAACATCAGCAAAAATATACAATCCAAGAATTGTCTGAACTTCCAAAGAAAATTGTAACAAGTTGAAGTTTTGTACAAGAGAATCCTTGCAAACAATACAGTGTGCCAATTATAAGTTTCCTTAATTAGCTCCGTCGATTCAGGAATTAATTAAAATATTTTATGATATCTTTGTTTTTCTTCATAATTACCAAAATTGCTTCAATCCTATTTAAGCGTTTATAATATTCATTTAAGTAATTAAGTACATTTGGGAATTTGCGTAATATAATTTTTAATGATGCGTTATTGCAGATGCTAGAAAACATAAGGCGAAAATTTGAGACATACAGGCGAGCTACCCGAATGAAAAGTCTCGAAGAATCCGCTAGCTATGGTATAAACTCGGATGCCCTGGGACAAGTCTTTGCCCACTGGCAATTCAAGTATAAGTATCCAGCAAGGCAACGTTATTTTAACCACTATGAACATTTTAAAACCAAGATACAAGGTCTCGATGTACACTTCATGCATGTCAAACCACAGAGTAAAACTGTTAAGGTGAGAATATAGTTTTATCCCCTCGTAATTTTATGTAACTTAAAGTTTAGTTAAGCAATAAAGCAAATAATAAATAAAATAAATTAATTTAATGTAACTAATTACTTTAGTTATAAGCTATGCATTTGAAAGCATCTTCCTCGTCATGACAAGTTTGAGAAAGCAAAAAAATTGAGTCTTAATAAATATATTTTAACGCGTATAAAATTTATTCTCGAGTCAGAGTAAGTCCTTGATTACGTATGCAATAAAATAACATAAATTATATAAGTGCGTGTTTTTAACATATCTTGGAATTCTAGGTTGTTCCAGTTCTACTATTACACGGATTTCCAAGTTCGATTAAGGAGTTTTACGAAGCAATACCCTTATTGACAGAGCCCCGACCTGGATACGATTTTGTATTCGAGATCATTGTACCAAGCCTACCCGGTTTTGGGTTTTCGCAGGTTTGTTTTTTTTATACTTACTTTATCTATACAAATGTTAAAGGATATGTTAAAAATGTATTTACAAATCGATTTTTTGTAAGCAATGGTAAGTAAATATATTTAAATACTGTCCGTAGTTTACGCGAGTTAACGGTTTAAAACGCGATGTATATTCGTTAAACTTCTTTGAATTATTTTTAACTACGCCCCGACGTTTTGAATGCTTTGCAGCAGTCGTGGTCACGGGGAGACAAATTTTCAAACAAGTTTAACTACTATGTATCACGTTTTAAACCATTAAAGTGTTTTATTTAAATACAATATATTTATTTATGATTGCGACTCAAAACTAAGACGTCATAATACATCTGATCTCTGTGTAATACTCACTCACAGATTGTATCTGTATACACAATGATTGTACAATTTCAGGGTCCCGTAAGACAAGGCCTTTCCGCTTACCAAATAGCAATTATGATGCGGAACCTAATGCAACGGCTAGGTCACAAGCAATATTATGTGCACGGTGGTAACATAGGGCACAACATCGGAACCCATATGGCTACTTTATTCCCGAGAGAAGTTCTCGGTTACCACACAACTTTCCCAATAAACTTCTCTAGGGTGGCAGATTTGATGTGGTTGGTTGGTAGCGTATTTCCGAAGTGGGTGGGGAATGAATTTGCAGACAGGATGTATCCTCTAAGTGAGAAGATGGCTTATTATTTGGAAGAGTTTGGTAGTCTACATTTGCAATCAACGAAACCTGACACTATAGGTAAGATTAGATACCATTGCTCTTGTTCCCACTGTTGGGATGTGGGACTCTACGTTTATATGCCTCGGCTATGCGAATTCATGTAATTGAATTGTTGGTGTTAGGATAATAAGTTTTCTTTACAACATTGTTCAGCTGACGACAATGTATATAACTATGAATATATTGATACCCAATCAAGAAACGAACTTGTGACCTTAATGATTCGTGACTCGTATATTTTTTTATGCTAGGATAGTTGTACATAAATATTACGTCTAAAGCAAGTTATTGTCTTTATATATCTTTATAAATTTTTTCTTCGACGGCTTTTTATTTCTCGAAAAAGAAAAATTATAAAATTTTACAAACGCGAACACTAGGCATTGAGATAAGAATTAGTTGGCTAGTTAACTACTTGTCAAACATACTTTTTTTACAAAAAAAATACAATTTTAACGGAATAAAACACGATAATTATTAGTAATTATTTAAACGGTGACCTGACAGTTCGGATGCTTGCAGCCGCTGTGGTCATGGTCACGCGAATATATGAAATACATTTCGCATTTTAAACCGTCAAAATTGTTTTATTTAACGGATACTACTCGCGTTAACAGTCAATACCTAAAATAAAAAGTTTAATAACTAATTCATTCCAGGCATCGCTCTCCAAGATACGCCATTGGGCCTTGGAGCTTACATAATCGACAGAATTCTAGCATTCACAGACCCGACACATAAATTGAAGGAGGATGGAGGTCTGTCTTCGTATAATACCACCGATTTGATTGACAATGTCATGGTATACTGGAGTAGTGGTAGTATAACTACCGCCATGAGGTTGTATAAGGAACTCGTTAAGAACAGAGATATAGAGGAAGTGTTGGCACAGTAAGTGAAGATTATGTATGTTCTAATATCAAGTTAAATGACAAAATAATATGTTTCTTTATTATTTTATGATAGAGGAGGATAGACAAGGAGAGCACTTGATTGAAGGTGAAATACCCGAGCCATATAACATCTCAACAAAATGCGTTGTTTTTGGCTATTAGATATTCGAAGACCCACAGACAGGGACGCGATTAAGCTTGATGATTTTTTCATCTGTGGACGGTGATTTGTGACCCGCAAAGAATTTCTATATTCCTACTTCTCAATTTAGTATCCGGATCTCCAGAAGAAGTCTGACATGTTTTAGAAAAATTATATGTTGAATAGAAATATGTTGGACCGATACATTGCTACCGTTAGAGAATCAATAAAAAAAATATATTTTAAAAAGAATCTGGTTTTGAAAAGCACACATTCTGTCTATAGTTTACACGAGTAGTACACCTTTAAATAAAACACTTTAACGGTTTAAAACGCGATATATTAGTTAAACTTATTTGAAAATGATTTTTAATTGATTAATCAGTCTCCCCGTGACCACGGCTGCTGCAAAGCATCCGAAACGTTTAACTAATATACCGCGTTTTAAACCGTTAAAGTTTTTAATTTAAAAAAGCACACATTCGTTAATTAATCTCTTATCGAACAGCTTTTACAGGGAAAAAAATGTTTAAAATGCGCCCGACATGAATGAGGCAGGCAATGACGGGCGCATTTCTGTGTCCGTTTCACTTATCAGTTTTATAACCGAATAGTTGATCAGACTTCTATGCCCTGTTTGATTAAAACTATCAATTTTAATCTGGCAAGATATTTAAACGAGCTGAAACAATTGGGATTTTAAATACAGGAGCTCTCTTATTTGAAGAAATTAAAGGACATGCTGGTACAAAAGTATTACTTATGTTATACAAATATTACTAAAAACTATTTTCAGAATACCAACACCGGTACCAACATGGGCGCTAAGACCAAAACATGAACTGTATCACTCACCAGACTTCATCCTACGTTGGAAGTATCCTAATCTTGTCGGTGTAACCAACTTTGACGAAGGTGGACATTACTTTGCTTTGGAAAAGCCTACTGTATTCGCCGATGACTTATTTAAGGCTGTGAACAGTTTTTTAAAGCTTAAAAAATAAATAATTATAAGCGTTAATAATTTTTTCAATTATGATTTTCTTTTATTTCGAAACCTAACAATTCACTGCCTCGTTCGCTGGACACTAAGGCTAGTGTTTGAATCAGGGGTAAAGCCAAATGTTTGTTCTATATTTGATATTAAAAATGTCCGGTGACCTGAAGTTTAGAAGAGAGAGAGAGAGTATGTTAAGTCATGTGTCTTGGTTATCATTACAATTTGAGTGACTGGCCGTTTCACCACCCAACCACTGAATCAGCGCATTGGTCTCTCAAACCTCCTCTTTTATAAGAGGGAGGTGATCTGTGCTCAGCTATAGGATGGGGTGGATATTAAAATAAACAATATGAGTAGATTTATCTAACTTTTGTAATTATTAAAGCTTATTTTTTTTACTTTTCACTTTTCTTTTATTTCATGTACATGATCAGTTTTGTATCCTTCATAATAAAGTGATTTCGAAAATGGAATGATAGCTAAGTTACAATACTTTAACGATTTAAAATGAGATATATTTTTTAGTTAAACTTAGTTAATTATTATAAGAACGGCCTGACGTTACCAGCGTGGTCACGGGTTACGATCTCCTCGTAAGTTTAACTAACATATATCGCATTTTACACAGTTAGTGTTTTATTTAAATGTGGATAAAATACAGACAGTATTCCAATGTACGTATTAAATTTATAATGGTTATGTATTTAAAAGTAAAGATCTTATTAAGTTCAAGGAATTTTTAACCACTTAGCGTAGTCGTTAATAAATAAATAACAGGGCAAAACTCGATAAGACGCGGCGGATTCGAAATCCATTTAAAAACCTTAAACAGGAAGCAAACTCAACGAGCCTTAGGGCTGTCACCTCAAATCCAAAGATTATTATTAACTCGTTTCGGATTTATTATTACTGAGTGTTACTAAAATTGTTTCTTATGTAATATGTCTATTAATTCAGGTTTATTTTTTTTCAACTACTCCTTTTTTATGTAATCTTGTATATTATATATTTCTTCTTATATTTGTTATGTTATGTATGGACCTAAAAATCCGAATGGGCTTATGATCTATCTATTGGTATATCTGCATTATATTTTTTTCCTCTGATAAATGGATTTACATATGCGTACTGCCGTACCGTACCGTACGTAATAACTTTAATGTAATTAATGTCAAAAGACTTCTCATACCTGAATGATGGATATTCGATAATATGTAAACCCATACATTTTGACAACCCTAGTAGTAATCGCTGTGAATCGAATCAGCGGTGTTAAATCGAGTTATATCTGTGGATCGGAGGAGGTTTTGTTTTTTTCAATAAACGCCTCATCCCACTGTTTTTCAGTATTAAATATTTTAAAGGTTTTATTTACAGTTTGCGTAAATCTATGATATTTTTACTACTATATGAATATAAGTGTGCGGATGGATTAGATTTATAAGCTATTGATGATAAGAATATTTAAAAAATATTATTTTATATATTATCAAGATAAGAATAAAAATACATTTAAATTATTTTATACCAGTGATCAGTAATAATAATATAAAGAAAATATTATGTTGAATATTATCAACACCCTTGCATTACCAATGAACATTTATCTCTTTGGTGAACAAAGACGAGTTATAAACAGACTACCTTTAGAACGTCTCCTGAAGCTTTCAGTCACGTAGCAACCGCTACGGCGTAGCGCTACGAAACCTATTATGCAAAATATTGCCGAGTAATTGATCTGAATGTTATTCTACAAACTGCTTTGTAAGGGAAATGAGTCTGCCACTGTATCTGAATTTGAATCGCAAATCTGCGGTCGAGTGAAACTAAAAAGACTGTCATCTTCTCGAAGTTTCTTAGCGCATTTGCATTCGGTTTAGATTTCCGTTACCATGGCAACTGGGTTTTTTAACAATCTGAAAACACAATTTTAATAAAAAAAATCAATATTAGCATCCGATTACAAGTCTATTACTTAAAACAATGCTTCATTCTTATAAATATGTTACTGTAGTCACAGCGAGTTCCTGAAGGACCTCTTCGAATAGGAACCTAATTGTCTGTAGTCCAATCAAATTGACTCAGCTCCTATCCTAGGCAGCTCAGATGAAACCAATTATAATCTGTGGTAAATCAAACGAACCCATACATTTCCCTTGCAAATACATCTTTTCGTCTTTATATCCAACAAAGGTGAAGGATCTCTTTTGAAACTGATGTTTCGTTCTCGCATACGGCGATAGGACGTGCGTGAAAGAGAAAGGTAGGTCTTTGCTATGAATACGCTTAATTAGTTCATTAAGATTTGAAGGATCGCTATGAATTATGGATGCTGTTTAGGGTTTCATGTGTGTGGATTGATATGGCTTTTCAACTATACCTTTATATATTAACGTGGGAAAATAAACATAGAAGGAAATACATTTTTCATTAGTATATATATACGTGTAGTATAAAACTATAAAGTTGAAGACTTTGAATGTGTCTGTGTACTTAAATGCGCTTATCTCAGGAACTACTGGTTCGAATTGTTAAAATGAAAAATTATTTTTGTGTTGGATATAAGTTATTAAGGAAGGTTTTAAGCTATATAGTGTGTGAAATCCCGTTTTCCCCTCGTGGGGCATGGGGCGAACACATTTCTGTGTCCGTTTCACTGATCTGTTCTTTTTAACAGGCAAGTAATAGATCAGACTTCTGTGCCCTGCCAGACCGAAACAATTTTATATTTCCCTGGGATTCGACCCAGAACCTCTCGGGCTTAACTCAATGCTAGGCAATACATTTAACCGTTTGGCTACCGAGGCCGTGATTTTAAGCTATATAACATGAAGTTTAAATCAATAAGTAGAAACAGCGAAAAACATAGAAAATCTGGAAAAATAAATCATGATCATGTATGATATTTAAATGACTTAATGATGTCGTGGATAACGGCTATAGTTTATAAAGCTGAGGAGGTTGTTTGATAATATAAATAAGGTAAGGCCCAAGTTATCACCCTTATAATTCTCGTTCTGTGTATTTAAATATTTTACTAGGAAAACATAGACGTACTTTAATATTTATATATTTAATTTATGATATTACAAAGGAATTTTTAAGAAAACCGTGTTCAAATTCCGAAGTTTCGTGTCATTTGAAACCATTTAGAAGGCGACGGACGCAATATATCAGCCGGGCTCCTGCAGCTGAAACCTTTTATCTGGATTGAATGGTAGCTGCGTTTTATATCTCAACTTTTACCGCTTTTGAATAATTTTCACTGGAATCAAAGGAATTGGTAAGACTGGGCGGACTGTGCGGACTGTGCGGAGTGTCGAAAGAAATTACTTATAAAATCCGTTAATATTTTATACATTATCGTATTATATAAATTATAAATTGATAAAGATTAAATAAAATGTTTTACTGAAAACTGTCTTTTGAGCTGTAGTTACAGTCTTGGGCAATATAACCTCTCTATTTGGAGAAATTCTACGATTACATGTAAGATACTGTAGTTATATTGGTTAGCACCCAACGGTGGGCCGGTTTAAGTCCCGGCCGAGTCTATCTAAAATCGATTTTAAATAACATGTATCTACAACAGTTATATTATACCTGTTTTATTATTTATTTACCAATAAAAATTGTACTTAGCGGCTTGTTCCTACCTATCACCACGTCCACAAAAGCACTCTAATATCCCCTGCAATTATCCGGCTTGTCAAGCAGTAAGCTGTACACATAAATATATGTTTAAAGATTTTTCAAGCGGCCTCTCTCTAAAGTTTTTGAGTTGTAAGCCCGGTGACACATAATCAACATCGGACAGGGCACAAACATGATATAACTAAACAGACATAAGAATGAGTCTGTCATGGGTAAATGTGTCTTCCTAAAGAGGGAAAACCGGTTTGCACTCACATTTCAGTAAATACGAAGGGATAAAGAAATTATTAAATAATGAAGTTACGAAAGAAGTACCCTAATTTGGGTATAATGTGACTATTTTATACATGTTTCTGCAGTACCAAAAGAGGGCGTTTTTTTAAATTGTGATGTTATATCTGATTTTATCTATGACTATAAAATTATTATAAACCCTTTAATAAGAAGGACGAAATTATAACTACGATTAACCATAAAAGCCATCTAATTTACATCTATTTGATATTTTTAAATAAAACACTTTAACGGTTTAAAACGCGATATATTAGTTAAACTTATTTGAAAATGCTTTTTAACTTGCAGCCGTGGTCACGGCTGCTGCAAAGCATCCGAAACGTCGGGCCGAAGTTAAAAATCATTTTCAAATAAGTTTTACTAATATATCGCGTTTTAAACCGTTAAAGTGTTTTATTTAAATGTGTACTACTCGCGTAAACTATAGACAGTATTCTATTTTATATTTTTTAAACCAATTTAAATAAAATTACTTCCCTAATTAATGAAATAGAAGCTAAAAGTTTCCTTATCAAAAGTGCAGTAAACAAAAATAGGATAATTAAAGCTTTACCTTTTTACTATGGGTAAATTAACAAACGTGAAACGCCAAATTGCCTGTTTGGTTTTACTAACTAGTAAATAGTGCCCTGTTGATTAGATTGCTAACAGAATAATCTCGTGAGGAATACTAATTAATGTGTAGTATCTATCAATGGTTCTGTACATTTTTAGGGGTACTTGGGTATTATATTTTACTATTTCCTTCACATAAGAGAATGCTTAGTCATAAGACCTATTTAACTTATAAAGTTACACACTCTTAACCTATACAACAATTGAAAAGTAATCTAAGTTAAAGTTATTTTTACCTTCAATTAGTATAAATAGTGTATCTAAAATACAAACTATACAAAATTTAGTTTAAAAATAAAATTAGTTAGTTTAGTAAATTAATTAGCAATCGCACAATGAAGTGCACCGGTACTTTAATAAAAATTACTATAGTTAATAAGTTTTAATTAGAATTAATATAGTTTTAGTAGAGTCACATGTAAAGTTTCAAATAAAACTTAT